TGCATTACTGAAAAATAGAAGGCTACTTTTTACTTTATCTTACACCCGGCATTGGGTAGAACACACAAATTGTTTGCTGGATTCATCTGTAAAACGTTTACATTTATTCTGTGAATAATGTGTTATATAAATGTTTTTGACATCACACTCTCTTCCACAGTTAGGGTTTGAGATCAACTGTGGAACTGACAACAAATGTGTTGATAACCTGAAAGTGGATTTCAACTTCACCAGGTGAGGCAGAATTACAAAACTTTGCTTAGCTTTGCTTGTGTTTTTAGTCACTTGCTAGGTTTCATAACATGTAACATGTATTTCATAAGTTGTACACTCGAAAGACACTTAAAACTTCAATTTTGAAGCACATAGATATTTTGGGACAGTTTGGTATTCAGTCTCCATCATTTTATCCTAATAAAAGAGACAAACAATGACAACACACACACACACACACAATGGTGGTAGTATGTGATTGAGAGATTACCACGACATATTAAGATTAAAGAAACAAACCCAACAATGGCAGGGAATATTTATTTCAAAATTATACCAATCCCCAAGAAGGCATTGAGGTTCACTAAACCTTAGACACTGTCATGAATACTGGACCCAGAAGCAGACTCAACACAAATTTAGCAGCAAACTATATACATTTTATTTCTTTTGTGAGAAAACAATAGCAAACTCTGAAAGTGAAAGTTAAACTCAGGCCTGAGGAAACAGGAGCAAATATGGAGGTGAGTGGGGAGAGAAGCTGTGATTGGGACCGTGGGAAACCTGAAACATAAGAGGAAACAATTACTTAGCTGCAGGGAAGCAGAGGAGAGACAGCAAAGCAGGATAATGATGCTGCGTGCTTACTGTCAGAGCCAGACCGCGGAGCTCGAAGGGGGAAAACGTTTGTGAGAGAATCTAGAGGGATGAAGTTACAGAGACTGTTATCCAGTGTGCAGGGCAGGCAGGTAGGACCACTGAGAGTGGCTGAACGGAGCAGCAGGCCGTACTGGTTGATGTAGTCCTCCTGTGATTGCCTTTGGATGGAATTCAAGTGTGATGCTGGTGGCCCCGCCCAAGGGTGTAACCGAAGAGCCATCCAGAAACATCCAGCACAATGCTCCCACAAACCATGACAGACAGAAACATAGCTCAAATCATTGAGATGTTGGTTTATTGACAGTTATTAAAGAAACAAGAAATCAGTGAAAGGCAACGAGCAAGGCTGGGTATACTTGTATGACCGTGGTTTGGTTTTCCCAGCTAGATTAGAGGGTTGCTTTCCTACGCCATTGGGTTTGAAAACACATCTGACTGTCAGTGTACCCAGCTTTCTTGAAGTCCCTGTATGGGGTGGTTCAAGATGCCTCTCCTGGGGACTAACCAACTAATGCTGAAGGGTATGCTCCAAGGGACCACACTCTTCATCCCTCCTCCACGAAGGTGGAAAGTAGAGCTCATCTATTAGTTGAACTGTGGATCCAGGAAAAAAAATGCAGTTGTTCTCATAATCATGGAACACCGGACCAGCTCTTGACCCAAGTGAGGTTGTGTGAAAGTGTAATGGGACCAATGGGTCCAACCTGTCTACATATGCTTTGGAGAACTATTGGAGAAGGCATTGATGCGTATCCCTTGGGGAATCTTATGGGGGTTTGGTTTGGCTGCTACTGTTACGGGCCATTCAGTCCCTGCACAACCATAAGAGTAGTATGCCAGACCGTTTCCTGGTGAGCATTGAGCTCTTCTAGGACTGTCCTTTGCTACCAATTCTGTTCACAACGTTTATGACCTCATCAGGTGATGACCTCCAGTGTACACTATGGTGGTTTGCAGTTGAGTGTGAAGTAGATGAAATGAGAATCAACATCAGAAGTCTGAGACCATAGGCCTCAGCTGAAACAGTGGGGGTGTGCTCACTTTGTGTTAGGGGCAAGTAATAGGAGAGTGGAGAGGGATATTGACAGGCGGATTGACATGGCAACTGCAGTGATGTGGATGCTGTACTGGTCTGTTGTAGCAAAAAAATCTATTTCCCACCCATCACCTATGGCTGTGAGGTCTGGGAATTGCCCAAAAGAATACGGCAGAAATTAGCTTTCTCCAAAAGAGAATGACTTCTGCAGAGTCATTTGAGAGGATATCAGAGTAGAGCTGCTACTCCTCTCTACTGAAATGAACCAGTTGAGGTGGTTCAGCATCTGACTAAGACACCTAGAGACATCCATTCTGATTACTAGCGATTACTAGAGAGCGCTTATTTGACCTGGGAATGCTTTGATGTCCCACTGGATGAGCTAAAGGAGCTGGCTGCGAGAAAGAACTCAGGGCATTTCTGCCTAGACAGAGGCCTCCATGATCCACACCTGGATAAGAGTCCGAAAATCAATGGATGGTAATTAGGGGTTTTGATAATCGATTTATCGATTTAAAATCGATTCTGGCTTTGATAATGTGATATCGATTCATTGAAATCCTGAATCGATTTTTTAATATAAATTTATTTTGCCCAAAACGCCAGAATCTCAGGTTAAACCTCACAAAATTTCGACAACCACCAAACAGCTAAACAGTAAATGAGAGCAGGTACATGGATTCTGCACAAAGACGTAAACACAAAGCGCGGACCCGCCGACAGATCAAAAGCAGCGAGATGTCGCTTTTCTCACCCAACGGCATGGGCAGGGTCGGGGCTGAAAGCCGACAGCTCACCGATTCTGATCCGTCGGCGGGTCCGCGCTTTTTTGTTTACGCCCTTTTTGCGCTGATTCTGAAGCTGCAGGTTTAATCACTCACCAAACAATATTGACTGAACCAGCAGAGAAAGAAGATCCAAACTACACTTCACATAAACATCGTCATGAATTCACTCTTACTTTTGCTGTTTTGCTTCCACCACGATAAAATCACACTTCATGCACAGCTCTCTCACTCCCCCCCCTCTCTCTGTACTCCAAGAACAGTTTCCCATCTAAATCTCTGTTTTCTGCATTATTCGCTTGCTTGTTACGCACAAGTCTACCGTTGTTTACAGCGCTGTCGGCCACTGTTTTTGTTCCTTTTAGTTACTTCCGAAAAGAAAACCTAATTTCTGCCGTTCAACAGGCTACTGAACAAATTTAAACTTTTACAATTATGCAAAATGGAAAACGCTCAGCAGTGTCTCTAATAAAACCGCTGTAACTTCAGAGGTAATGTTCATATGTTGATTAATGGTTTTCTTTCGTTTTTGATGTACTGCAGAATATTTGTATAAAATCCCAGGCCAGGAAAATCACCTTCATGTTTTTCTGTGTTTTATCTTCAGCTACTTTGACACAAAGGCATCTGCTGTGATGCTCACACCTTTGATAAAGTCTTGCGAGTGTCAGCTTTCTTATTATAGATACAAAAATATGTAAATGTTCTGATCTGAATTATAATATTTCTGACTGTCTGAGGCAAAATTTCCCATATTCAAATTTAATTGAATCGAATCATGGATCAAATCGATTCGGGACCTTGTGAATCGGAATCGAATCGATTCTAGTAATCAGTGACGATACCCAGCCCTAACGGTAATACCTTTTTTCATAATGCATCATCAGTTATTTTTTGTGTTTTATGATCACCAGCAAATGACAGCAAATTAAAATAATATAGGGAGCTTCCTGACTGCCAATATTGATGCATGATGGCGCCGGTGTGTGTGGCTTGCCGTCTGTCTCTGTCAATTTTGTTTTGTACAATTTGTGCCACCCAAATCAACTCGCAACTGGTATATGAACGCCAAAAACTTTTTGATCTTCAATGTTTTCTGACTAATCAGCAAGGACAAACAACAGGGTATCCACCATCCCTGGCTGATGTTCCTGCTTACCTGCTACGTGGAGCACTTCCTCCTGCTCCGACGCATCGTAAACGTGCCGGTCGGCTAGTGAAATCTACCGACCACCGAAGTTTAACAAAGACTTTTTAAATGACTTTTCATGTTTCTTGGCTGACATTGTGCCTAAATATGATTGGATTTTAATAGTTGGTGATTTTAATATTCATGTCTGTTGCTCTGATGGTCTGCTTGCTCAGGAGTTTTTAAATCCTATTCAGTCTTTTAACTTTGTACAGTCCGTACAAGGCCCTACACACCAGCAGGGGCACACTCTTGACCTGGTGTTATCGTGTGGTTTATCTGTTTTTAATTTGGAAATTGGGGATTCTGTGTTTTCTGATCACAAACCTGTTTTATTTGACATTTCTCTTGTGCATGAGTTTAAAGCTCGCGCTCCACCCAGGCGCTGCCGAATCTTTAATTCTTCCTTGGCCCTCTTCTTTTTTCATTATACCTGCTCCCTTTGGGGTTTATTTATAGAAAACATGAAATATCCTTTCACTGTTACGCAGACGACTGCCAAATTTATTTGCCTTTAGCACCAAATCGCCCAGGCTCCATCCAAATCCTTTTAAACTGCCTTGAAGATGTCAAAGCTTGGATGGCTCTGAACTTTTTGAGTTTCAATGAGAGTAAAACGGAGGTGATTGTATTTAGACCTAATAATATTTCATGCAACCCGCTTGTAAATTATGGTTGGCTAGGGTCTTATATCAAGCAGCATGTGACAAACTTGGGAGTCATTATGGACTCAGATTTTAAATTGAACAAACATATTAATTCAGTGTTGCAAAAAAGCTTTTTCCAGCTGAGGCAAATAGCAAAGCTGAAGCCAGTTTTGTCAAGCCGTGACACGGAGAAGGTAATACATGCCTTTATTTCAACACAGCTTGACTATTGCAATGCACTTTATGTTGGAGTCAGCCAAGGGTCTCTTGCTCGTCTTCAGCTCGTTCAAAATGCTGCTGCCCACCTCTTAACTGGTACCCACAGGCATGATCATGTAACACCTATCCTGTCTTCTCTTCACTGGCTTCCTGTTCATCACAGAATTAATTTCAAAGTCCTAACACTGGTTTATAAATGCCTTAATGGTCTTGCTCCCCCATACCTTTCCGAGTTACTTCAGCCGTATATTCTTTCACGGACCCTCAGATCAGCTGACCAGCTGCCGTTGGTTGTCCCAAAATCAAGGCTCAAATGCAGAGGAAAGCGAGCCTTTTCAATTATGGCCCCAAAACTTTGGAATACGCTGCCTTTAAATATTAGACAGGCATTTTTGTTTCCTGTTTTTAAAGTGCTTTTGAAAACACACCTTTTTTCGATAGCGTTCAGACTGGCGTGAGTTGATATTTGTATGCGTTGTGTTGACATTGATAGTTTGTGTTTTATTATGTTTTATGTATGTGTCAGTGATTTTATCTTGTGTTTTACACTGTGTTTTTGTACAGTACTTTGGGCAAACCTTTTGTTTTTAAATGTGCTATATAAATAAATTGGATTTGGATTTGAATATTAATATGTTAGTATTCAACACAAAGCTATACTATATTTAGCCTCCTACAACTTCAGCATCACAGTGCAGTCTTGCTTTATTCTTCCTTTATTCTTGTCCTCTGTCAGATCCTTAGAGGTTAAAGTGGGCATTGATGAGCTTTTGAATGTCACAGTCTCAGTGGAGAACAGAGGGGAAAACTCCTACAACAGCCGTGTTATTCTCACGTACCCAGCTGGACTCTCTTACAGGAAGTTCACCATTCAGCAGGTAATGTGTCAGGATCAAGTTCATCATTGATTTGCTGCTCTCCCAATGCATCCAGCAGTCATTTTATTTTCTAATAAAGGGAAGAATTGAGTGCAATTCCTTGGACAGTGAAGATGGTTTATCCCGAGGAAGGACAGACTGTACTATTGACAAGCCAATTTTCAAGAGCAGAACTAAGGTTTGTTATTGTGGTATGATTTGTCTGTTAACTTCTACACAGTTTAACAAAATGAGCAATCACTCTCATCTCTCTTCTTCAATTCAATCAAGGCTTTCTTCATTGTCTCATATGGTATCGAAACAAACACTCAACTAGAGAGGAAGATCTTTATCACTGC